GCTATTTCGTAAAAATTTAAAATTCAAACGCACTTAAAATTTTTCCTATAATGATGCTTCGAGTTTTCTCTATAGCTACTTGAAAGAAAACTTATGGAAAACTTAGTGTTGTATTTTTAATCCTTAGTTATAAACAAAAAATTTTTATGATTATTCAACTTCAAAATTACTTGCAAATTTTCGACTAATTTCGTAAAAATTTGAACTATAAACGCTTATAAAAAAAAATGTTGATTAACGATTTTAAATTTTTAAATTTTAATTAAATTTTATAATCTACACGACTCCGCAAACTTGCGGAATCGTTCTCCACCGAATTTTTTTATACCTGGCTCGTAGAACTCTACCGCCACCTATTTTTTCCACTTGTCGATCACTTGCCCCCTTCACTTCCTCATCAGTTGAAAATTTTGTTCCACCCATGTGCTTCTTCAGGAAAGTGAACAAATGGTAATATTATGAAGGCACCCRGTCGGGGAAATATGGGGGATGGTTCAAAACCTCCCATCCAAATGAGTCCAACAATATTGCTTCTTCATATTAGCCATGTGGGGTCTGGCGTTGTTGTGTTGCAGGCAGACTCCACTCGTTAACAARCCCCTCCTTTTATTTTGAAAAGCTGTCCTCAATTTTTTTAAGGTCTCACAATACCATTCTGCGTTGATGGTCTTCCACTGAAGTAAATATTCAATCAAAATGATGCCTTTGTGGTGTCAAAACACTGATGCCATGAATTTTTGGCTGAAATGGTGGTTTTGAATTGTTTGCTTGAGTTTCRGGTTTATAGTGTGCAACCCAAGTTTCATYTCCAGTAACAATAGACTTGAGAAAGTTATCGACGTCCAGCTCATAGCGTTCCAAAAACTCTCTAGAGGCTTGGACTCGATTCAACATGTGTTGATCAGTAAGCTGTTTTGGGACCCATCTTGCGCACAGTTTATGAAAGTCAAGAGTTTCTGTGAYTGTTTCGTGTAGCAGAGACCTTGACAGTTGCGGAAACATTGCAGAAAGTTCATCCAGAGTCAATTTGCGATCGTCACGGACCGCATTCTCGACTTTTTTCATAATGTCGTCAGTCAAAACCGACAGTCTCCCACTCCTCAGATCGTCATGTACATTTTTACGGCCGTTTTTAAACTCCCTACACCACTTGTATACACTGGTACGATTCATATGGCCTTCACCATAAACCGTTCGTACCTCATTAAAAATCTCATGTGGAGATTTTTCCTTCGCAACAAGGT